TCCCTACCCCTCCCCTGCCCGCTCCTCCAGCGCAGCCCGCGCACGCCCCGCCTCAGTCCCGCGACCAGAACCCCCGGCGAAGCTACCCGGAGCACCCGGAGTTCTGAGACCCATCGCTCGGGGTCCGCAGTGTCCGTCGCGTCCCGGGCGGGCATGGAGCGGCCCGGCTGAGCGCCGCACCCAGCCGCCGAGACCTGCCAGTCTGAGTCACCCTTCTGCCGCGGCCCCGGTGCGCACGGGCGATGGCGAAGGCGACGGCCAGCGCCGCGGGGCTGCGGTTCCTGCTGCTGCTGCCACTGCTCGGTGAAGGTGAGTTCTGCCGGCAGCGTGTGCTGCATCAGCCAGGGCGAAGTTGGCGCCGCGCTCCGAGCGGCCAAGTGGACGCGGTGGGAAACGCCTTCCGTTTGCGGCGGGCGCAGGCTGCGCAATTGCCACCCGCTGGGGAGCTAGGTGGTGCGGCGGGTAGGGCGCGCTGGGTCCTGGGCTGGGTGAGTGTCCGTCCGGAGTGGCACTGGGACCCGGCCGCGTGGGCGCTCTGGTCAGTACCTAGGGCTGGAGCTACCACCGCGCGTCCCAACCTGGTCGCGCCTCGCGCAGCAACCGCATCTTGGAACCAGCGGAACGGACCCTGTCACCGTTACCGCACAGGTGGGGGAGGACGCCAGGGGAAGCCCGGGAAAGCCAGCGACTTGCGCTAGGAGTTCTAATTCTCCGGAACATTGCTACGTCCGGGCTTTCGTTTTGCGCTCCAAGTCGGTGCATTCCTCCTCCAGACCTAAGCGGCCGGAGTGCAGAGGAGTTAAGCTCTTTTATAAAAGGTTGCTTTACCCTTACACGTTTTCATCGCTATAGTCTTTAAGAAATATAATAATCATAATAATAACTTAAATGCCTGTGGTTTCTGGGGTGGCTGCCCTCGAAAGCTCTCAAATATCCAAGGCGCACTTGAGGGCCTTCCATGATCCAACCTAACAACCAGCTTTGGAGACCCTGGCCGTTGCCCTAAGTTGCGGCCTTTGGAGCCATAGAGGGCTCTGGACCAACCTTTACCAAGCGCTTTTGAGCAGTTTAAGAGTGGCATAGAGATGTTTTGGGTGCTGGCTAGCCTCTGCACTGATGGACCTCAGCATTACATGTGACTTTGCAAAAGCTCATCACCACCCACACCCCAGAACCCGACAGGGTGAACCCCAAGGCTAGAATCTTTGACCCACCCACTCATTTTATTGTCCCTTAAGCCAGCCCTTCTGCTGTCCTGCACCCATCAAATTTCCCTGAGAGCGAAGGAGCCGCCCTGCCACTGTCCCCCACTGCTTACAAAGGGCTTTCTTTCCCCGTGGCCTTTGGGACCAGAGGAGTGGTGGTCTCTGGCCTTTAGCTGTGGCCTCGCACAGACTCTGGGTTCACAGACCTGCCCAAGGCTTTGTTTGTGTGGCTCGAAACCCGGGCTCTAGGGGGCAGATCTGAGACCAGAATAGATTCCCAGTCCCTGGTAGGGGAGGGGCAGAGGGCAGAGAAGCACTTTCCTTGCCCTGTAGAAGAAGGGGAGTAGGGAGTCTGTTTCCTGTATAGCAGGGAATAGCAGGAGGTTGAAGACAAGGTGCAAATAAACACAAACAAGATGTTTTGAAAATCTCTTGTAACTCTGGATTGCAACTTTGTAGTTTTGTGCGTGTGGTGAGGTGTGAACCGGAAGCCTGAGCTTTACTGATCCCAGAGGGGCAGAAGCAAAGGATTCTTCTTCCACCACCTTGCCTTGGCAGGGGTTTCTAAAGAGGCTGTGAGCCTGGTAGATCAACCAGTGGCACTTGGCAGGAAAGCAGGTGGCTCTTCCACAGCCCTGGACCGCAGGGCTGGGTGACTGAAGCCATGCTCTCTGAACAGAGTATAGCGAATCTCCTTCACTCCCCACCTTTCAACAGGGATGACCAGGAAATCATGATGGTGGTCCTGGTTGTGGAGAGTTAAAGCTGCAGTGCCTAGGAGAAGAAAGCAGGGCCTTTGGAGAGGCCTGGGGAAGCCACTCACCTCTGGAGCAGCGTGCGTGGAGTTGCCAGACCTCTCTCAGTGAGGCTGGCCTCTACTCCCCACCCTCCCAGTCGTGACAGCTTAGCCTCCGGGCGCCCTCTTGTGGATGCAGCACCCCAGTGGGTGACCTGTCTCTAGGAGATGGGCTGGGTCTCTAAGAATGAAACCCTTCCCCCTCCGACCAGACACCTCCCCAAGATGGGCAGTTCCCCTCTGTGCCTGATGACAAGACCTAGATGGAGAGGCAGCTTCTGAGACCATAGTGAAGGGCAGGGCCTGAGCACTGTCTCTGGGCAGCAAGCCCCCCGTAAGGCCACGGGACATAAACATGCCCCTGTCACTTTCCCTCCACACACGTGTGCTGTCATTGTGGGTGGCAGTATGCACGGTCAGAAAATGGTGCCAGTGGACTCGAGCTGGATGGGATTTTCTTAACCACACCCTGTATCCCTGTACACACTCACACGCAGTCATCACTGAGACATACTCCTGACCTTGCTCAAGGATACACATTCATGGACCTGTGGGCACAGGTACACATACCCAGAGTGTGGCCTGGCCTCTCACACTCCACCCCCACCTGGGGAACATGATCCCTCTCCGTGCTCCTTAACATCCTGGCGCCCCTCACATATACACAGGAACACCTGCCTCTCAACTCCTCATATGCACAGGGGTAGTCCCATCAGCTTAAGGGGTCCTGGACAGAGCCAGAACCTCCGTCTACTGGTGCGCTCAGTGGAGTTTCTGGCCCTTTGCTGCCCAGCTCAGGTGCGGCCGTCCCTGCTACAGGAGGCAGTTACCAGGTCCTGGGACTCCCCTGTAGGTCCCAGGCTGGCCCCCATCCTCTGCAATCTCCCTGACCTCCTCCTCTGCAGTGGTCCTTTCATCTCTGTCTTCCCATGCTGGCTTTTTGGGCCCCATTTACTCAGTTTTTCTGGCTTCTGGAAAGACCAGAGGGCAAGCTCTCTGCTTGTGGACCTCAGCCTTTCATTCTCAGGCACCGAAGCAGGGAAAGGAAAGCTTCCTGTGGCTTGGCAGGCCCTCTGTCCCTCCAGTGGGGCCTGGAAGAGGCCACTTATGCTGACCACAGGCTGCTGCCTACTTCTTCTTATCTCTTTCTGGTCTCCCCTCTCCTTCACCAGGGACTACTGGAAGGCATCTCCTGCCTTACCAAGTTCACCTGGGCCTTGACCTCTTATTTCTCCACCCCATCCAGCTTAGCGTCCAGAAGCTGCCCATACCCCTCCTTGGCTGCTCTGGGTGCCAGCAGGGCCCAGCCTACTCAGGGACAAGGGGCTGAGCCCAGCCTGTTGGCTCCTGAGGGTGGGGCCTGTGAGCAGAGAGCAAATGGGGAAGTTTACTGAACCCATGGCTAAATTGCTTTTATTCTGCAGAATTGCTTTAGGGACAGCTAAGTAAATCACTGTTTCCTCAGTGGTGTAAAGAAAATGGGATGCATTCACCTAATGGGGAGCTAATGGCCTTTTAGCCAGGGGAGGAGAAAACTAATTAAAAATTATGGTATCTGTTAAAATGGAGCTTGGGGTGTCAAGAAGGGAGGGCCCGGAAGCTAATGCCTCTCCTCTGCCTTCCTCCTCTCTGTGACCTAAGAGAGGCCTCCTCTGTCCCCTGGTTTTCACTGGATAAGGCTAATGCCAGCAGCAGCCACCTCATGGGCCAAGCACTGCCTGTCTGCTGGCTCAGTGCACCCTCTGACTCTGAGGAATGAGGTGTCGCTTCACAGGTGAGGAACTGAGACTCCCTCTGCCTGTGGAGAGGATGCAGTGACTTCCCCTCCCCTGCTCCTGTGGGCTTCAGCAAACTCTTTCTCTGAGCCTGAGCTGGTAGGGACTGCAGGGGGGCTGAGGAGCCCATTGAGAGACTCCCTCACACCTGTCATTCACCTGCAGGGGTCTCCAGAGCCCAGGTTTGGCAGTGGAGTGTGGTATTGAGTTCAGATGCCAGAAATGAGACCAAACCGGGCTGAGACCCCAGCGTTAGTTGATGTCTGGAAGCCCTGTGGGTCTGGCCTGCCCCTGTCATGGCTGGCCTGGGGTGGGGGCAGTACCTTCTTGGGTATTGCAGAGGTCTTTGGGGGGAGGGGAATACAGGCAGTCTGTGGCCCCTGCATCACAGTCTGTGCCAGAACCCAGCACCTGAGGAGAGTGGGGATGGGTTCTGGGAGATGAGGGTGCCACTGTGCCCCATTGTGCAGGGCATGGCCTGACCCCCCTGGGCTCAGGACAGAGTGGGGCAAGTCAGTGCCCAGCCAGGGGCCCCTCCCTCTGAGTGGGCCTCCCATCCTGTGGAAGTGGCTGCATTTTCACTCTGGCACCTGCTTCTCCTTCCTTTGTGACTGAGAGGACACTTTCTGGTGTGTCCTGGTCAAGTCAAGGCTTCTGTGTTGGCTGCTACCATCCTCAGACTGGCCTCCCCATTCCTGGCTCCCCATGCTTTTCCCGGCTTTTCATTTCTGCAGTTGTTCTTCTGAGTGACTTAATAGTAACAACAGGGGTCATCCGCAAACATTCCCCAAGGCTGGCTGGGTCCAGTGTCATCACACGTGTGTGTCTCTGTGTGTGTCTGTGTGTGTGTGAGAGAGAGATTTCAGGAAGTGGCCCTCCTGTCACATGCCAAAGGGGTGTGGTGTGATGGCAGTGGGGGTCATCCCCCTCCCACCGGTTCCCACTTCCTCACTTGCCTCCCACTTCCTCACTTGCCTCCCCGTGGGCCCGTCTTCTCTCCATGTTCTGTGGGTTCTCCATGTTCCAGGGGTACTTTGGTCCCTGGAAGACTGGGGGTCAATACTACTGAGAGGTAAGGTCTAGGGTGTTTTCTGGGGATCGTGACCTGGTGGTGCTTAGCTTAAAGGATGAGGGCCCTCCCTGGTAGCACAGCGGGTTAAAGCACAGCACGGCAAGCAGCCACAGCCTCTTCAGTTCGAGTTCGATTCCCGCCCTGGAGGTTACCCACATGGCGCAGCAGACCTCTCCTGACCTGCCTGCTGCTCCCCTCAGCAGTGTACTTTGTTGATCTACCTGTTCTTCTCTCCACTCTGTCTCTGGTGAATCCTTTCACCCCCCTACACCTCTGGCCTGCACCCCAGTCCTGTATGCATAAATAAATAAATCTTTAAAATAGATAAATAAAGGAACACGAAGGCTTTGACATCCAGAGACCATGTGGCTCAGCCCTCAGGCACTTGGGGAAGATTTGTGATTCTTCCATAAGGCCCACCTCAAATGTCAGGAGGTGATGTGACTGAGGCCCCAGGACAC